GAGCACAAGTGGTCACACAGGAGGCACATTTAAAAAGCGTCTTGATACCAGGTGGAAATTACATTGGCTCTAATGCATCTTATGCTTGCCTCTGTATTTATATGCATATCTAGATTCCTTTGAGGAGTCTGAAGAGAAGTGGCTGTCATCCTTAGAAAGCTCAAGATGGATGGAGCATGTCAGGTATGATTGAGAAACACTCAGTAGTCACCAAACAGCATATTTGATGTCTCAGCTTGTGCCAGAAATGTTGGCAACAGGCATTTCAGTTTGTGCATTCTCAGGTGTTTATTTAGGTCTCAACAAATCTGTCTGTAGATGTTGATGCTGTGTACACTTTTAAGATCTGTGTTGTATGCATTTTTTTTACAGGACATTTCTGCGGCATGCAGTAGAGGTAGTCTATATGCTGGAGAGCAGACATGTGTCTGTCATACTCCTAGGTAAAAAAAGCCCTTTTACAAATAAATATTCCTTTAAAGGAATAGTTCATCCCCCACCCAAAATAAATAAATAAATTCAGAAAATGTACTATATCTTGGATGGCCTGAGGGTGAGTACATTTTCAGCAGATTTTTGAATGAACTATTCCTTTAATTGTTCTGCTGTCTGTTGTAGAGAAGTCTAATATCTCAAATGTAATATCTTGTAAATCCTATGTGAAGTGATTAATGATCTTCTTCATTCTGTATATGTGTGTGTACAGAGAAAGAGGATCGGGACCTGAGTTGTGTGATTTCCTGTCTGGTGCAGTTGATGTGCGATCCTCACTGCAGGAGTCTGCACGGCTTCCAGGGACTGATCCAGAAGGAATGGGTAATGGCTGGCCATCGGTTCCTCGACCGCTGCAACCATCTGAAGAAGAACGACAAAGAGGAGGTAGTACAGCTTATAGCAGTTGGATTACAGGATCTTGTTTGTTCATTTATACATGTATACACGTATATATATGTTATTCATACGTGTGGCCCACTTCTTCTTGTTAATGTTGTTTCTTTCTGCAGTCTCCTGTGTTCCTGCTGTTCCTGGACTGTGTGTGGCAGCTGTGGAATCAGTACCCAGCAGCCTTTGAGTTCACTGAGGTGTACCTGACAGTGCTGGGGGACAGTATGTGGGTCCCCGTCTTCAGCACCTTCCTCTTTAACTGCCCCCGACAAAGAGCAGAGCACAGCAGGGTTAGATGCTTTTTGACAAATTT